CAAGAATTGTACATTTCACTTCAAAATTTAGAAAACTGTAAAACTCTGAATCATGGCGTAAGAATCTGTTCCGATCTACTACCCTACCCGATTGATAGCGAAACTATATGCGAAGCCCAACTATCGAGAAGATTGACCGTCCTCCCGAAAACTTGCTAGTCTTCACTGATCTACGCTACGGAATACAATGTCCAGGAACTGAGTCTAAATTTGTGGCTCTATTTGAAGTCCTACCAATCACCAATAACTGAGAAAATATGGAACCAGTTACACGGGTGGTCAAAAACAATTCCCTGCTAAAACTTCAACCCGGATGCAGCTCATTCGTTGGAAGCACTAGAATTCACTCCAAATACTTCGTCGATAGATATAAGAACGTCACATACAAAAACATGCCGTTCGAATACCATACAGCTGTTGCGATCATCTTCCTGAAAAACGACATCTTTCAGAACTGAAACCGCTGAAACTCAACAAAATCAACGTTGACGAGTTGAACATCGCTCAACATAAATTAAACCAATATTCCGAAGAATTGAATAAACTTATCAATGAGCCGTTTGTGAACAAGCACATATCATGGTTCACATATTGCACTATAACATTGATCATTTTATTAATCATACTTTACATCTTTTGCAAAGATCAGACAGACAACCATCTTATGAATCTTATCGAGATTCATCCCCAGGAGAAGACCTAGTATCAACCTCCAGGAACCTATAGAAGAGGAAATCCAACTCAACACCAGTTTCCACAAGGAAAATGTTTTGTGAAAAGTTGCAGCAAAAAGGAACAACTTTTTGTATGAAAGGGGAGTTGTTATATGCGAATTAGCGTCTCACACGTATTAAATTACAAGCGATAACAGCTTCCTGCTGAAAGTGCTAATTGTGCAGTATCAGCAAGATGAACACTTGTGTTCCAGACAAAGCAATTGCTGACACTGTTCAAATATCAAACATATAAATAGACCCTGCGAGGTCAATTATTTATTCCAAGTTTTTCACATTATATTCAAATATTGTATAAAAGTGTACATAAAGAAATAAACCAATTTTTAAAAAGTGAATCGTGAAAAACAAGATATTATATGGGAAAGAAAGTTTTTGGCTTTCTACTACTCCATCTGATACAAAAAAAATGGATGAAATGACAACTTTTTGACATTGAATAATGTGAAATACTTTTTCTAATTTTTTAATGTCGTTCATCATAGTGATTTATATTGTGTTAATATTACAGGATGTATTTAGATTTTCATTTTCTGTTAGTAAAAATGAATAAATTTTGCTGATGAGGTTGTCGATGCCTGTCTTTTTATTGATATTGTTTTCTTCAACTTTGATTTCAGCCATTTCCAGAAATTGCCTTTCATTCGAATATGGTTCGAAATGGAGAATCATCTAGAATATGTTGTGTTAGAGCACAAGAATTTTGTTTTAAATTTTTACGACTACTTTTATGAAGAGCTATGCGGGTTTTTACATACGTCTCACACGTATTAAATTATAAGCGATAACAGCTTCCTGCTGAAAGTGCTAATTGTGCAGTATCAGCAAGATGAACACTTGTGTTCCAGACAAAGCAGTTGCTGACACTGTTCAAATATTGTTTTTCATACCAAACATGTAAATAGATTCTGCGAGGTCAAAAAGACGTTCATTAACGATTTATTCATTCTCAAGTATGGTTCACATCAATTACTTATTCAGTTAATGTTCCAAGTTTTTCACATTATATTCAAATATTGTATCAAATTGTTTATAAAGAAATAAACCAATTTTTGAAAAGTGAATCGAGAAAAACGAAATATAACAAATTGGCGCAGTCGGTAGGATTACTGAACGTTGCTAGAACAAGAAAATTCTAACTGGCAGCGGTGGATTCCAATCCTTCAAGGAAACAAAGAACCAAGCCTTCCAAGGAAACAAAGAACAACTTTAATCAACAAAGAACACATTGCGTTAAATATGAAGAATCACAACCTCTTCAAGATTATAATCCGGAGTATGAGAACTACTATACAGCTCGTAGCCAAAAAAATTATACTGTTAATGGTCAATGCCCGCAAGAACAACTTGAACGATACGATCAATACAACCAATATGATCAATACAACCAAGACGATCAATAACCAAAATTACCTTATTAATTAACTTATTTCATACAGATGAATGACTCTCATCCTCTTGATACTCTGGCCTGTCCTGCGCTGGTGTTATTTCCATGTAGTGTATTGAAACTTGTAATACAAACAACCACACCATACCGTGTTGAATTGTTATTCACGCTCAAAGTTATATGTGATAGTATTGAAAGGATTTGAACACTTATAAAAATAGTGAATCAATTCTTTGGGTGGTGGTAAATCACCGAAACTATCAAAATATTTCAAAAAAGTATCGCTTTTCCTGCTTGCTACCCAATGTGTTCCTTGACCACATCGACTATCCAAATTTACTATGGCAGATCCATATCGGAGTGGTTCTGATTCTGACAAATCGTCACGCATATATACCGCTCAAAAAAATCAAATCATCATTTTCTTAGCGTGATAGTTGAGGTTGATGTTGAAGAGAGCTCTTTCACGTAGAATATCAATGAGTGATTCGAAATTTGAGGTTTGAAATGGAGACCTTATCCTTCACGGCGAGACTTCAAGCAGATACCACTTCCTTGTCTACCTACAACAATTAACTCCATGTATTTATCATGCTGATTTGCCTCACTCAACTGCTCCCTACTCGCTTTCTCTGTACGACCTGCTTTCGTTATGCCAGCTGTAGCACCGGGTGAAATATTTAGCGATGATAAACCAACAAAATTTTAAATTAATGTTAGTATCACAAAAAATTGTAGGAATTGGTTGTAATAAATTCGCACGGTGTGAGAATTTTTTTCCCACCTGCAGCCCTCGTATATTTGAGTGCTTTTTCTAGTGCAATTCAACCTGCTCTTTTAGAATCTTTGACAACAAATTCACTCCCTCATGCTTTGTGTAGAATATCATGCACTTTCTCAACGATTCCAGAACCAAAAGCTCTCACCTTAGAATCTTTCAAATATTATTTTAGTTTTTTCCTAATAGACCATTTTTTTCTTTATACGTGAATGCTTGCATGGTGAATCGCAAAAGGAGCGTCTTTTACTATGAATCGATTCCAACCACTTTCTGCGACCTCCTGATCCGCTATGTGTCTGGCAGCAAGATTGCTGGGATTCTGTGAATATGCATTATCGTGTTATTTGCATGCGAAATCTAATTGATTGGCACCCGGATCACCTGTTGTCAATATTTTCTGCGATTCTGTGCCAGGACCGCAATACTGACAGCCAGTTAAGTGAAATTCGAATGGTAGATCAATAATGTAATAATTGACCAATCCATTACCAGTTTTAATCGAATGCAATTCAGTAGATGTCTATTGTCTTATAACCTCCATTCGAATGAGGAAATTGACATGGAACCCTGCTTATATGTATAGTCTCCAACTGTCATCCAGTGCGCATACTGAAGCAGAAGCAGCAGTTTTCCATCGACAATTTCGATGTAAGAATGAGTCGTGGATCAGGAAGCGGTGTTAAAAAGTGTCATGGATCTTCACTTCCACTTCACTTCATTCGAGGATTGGACCTTCTAACTGTGACAAAACAAATGTTATGATTTCTCTGCTGACTCATTCTCTAGAATCACGATTTGCAAATATTCATCATTAAAAATCTTGTCATAAACCTGAATATGAGAAATTTAGTGGAGTACTAGCAGATTAAATATTCATTTTTGATGATGTAATGTGTGAGAAATTTGATGTTATGCAATCATATTTCAGTATGGTTCGTCATGAAAATGTCGATTACTTCTATCTAGCCCAAAACTATTCAGGAGTCCCAAAACAACTGTTTCGAGATGAGGTAATGCAAATGTTTTGTGCTGTTCAAACAAGATGGTATGAATATCAATCATATTTTTCCATCGAAATGGATTCGATGCTTTCATATATCCATGACTTTTTCGAAACAATTAGATCATTGGAGTGCTAGACAGAGTAGATGGCCCTTCATTGTACACATTCTTGAATTACATTTCAAAGGGAAAAAATGTTGGTGAAATATGTTTGACAATAAATTCATTTGAGGCAACGAATGCCGTTCGAAAGAAATTCAATTATATCGAAAGTAGTCACCTAGGTGATCAATTCATCAAGCTGATCCGAGTACTATTTTGTAAAGCGTCAACTCAATACTATCCGCAGTGAAATGTGAAGGTATTTAAGAAGGGATAAAAAGCATGCTCTCGAACCCAAATTTTGACATATTTTGCGCAAAGGAAATGAAATCCGTCATATTGAGTATTGTATATAGATGCAGGAAAATCATTTCTATATATAGGATATTCACAGTGATAAGGATGAATAGTGAGACAAATTGGATTTTTAGGACTCAACATTTTTCAGGGATAATCTGAATTGATAATAACTCGGATTTCCTGAATCCGAATTCGTTGAAATTTTGAGCCTATATATCATCACCTAATACTATTTTTGATGAAACTGGATGATTTCATTAACCCTGGCGAGTAGTGTATGTCACACAGATCAACCCTAGACAAGACTCAGACTTCTCGCTGGTATGTCAACTAATTCTGGAATTCACATAATTCTACTCCAATAATTGAGGAAGGGACGGTTGTATTTCCATGATAAATGAGACACACTGTGTATGATACGTCTGTGATGACAAAGATATATTAGTCCTAAACATTAGAAATAATCTTTTTCATGAGAAAAATAATTTGTATTTTTTTTTATTCCCGATCTTGGACCTAATTTCTGAGGGAGCATACATCAGCCTTAAGACAAGTCAGAAGGTACAGTTAGTTATCTAGAAAGTTCACCATCTGTATCAGCAATAGCAGAAAGTGGAAAAATCTTAGATATATGTATTCAGTGTAGACTTACTTTTTCGAAATTCATTCATTTTCAACATCAAGTACTTACCTCAGAATATGATTATGATAGGTAATACAAAATCTCAAACGATTACTTTCCAACTCTTCTTTTTCACACTGAAATGATTCCAGTATATTCTCTTTGAGGAAGCCAATATGACAAATGAGCAATTCTGTTGTTTCGAATACTAAAAAAGCTATGATTGCTGGAGGTATTACCATGTAATTACCGAGGATGTATTGAATCAACAGTATTAAATTCCTTGTTGCTGTAGATACGTTTTCAACAGGTAGCCATATGGGTGATAATGTTCCGCATATTGATTTGCGTTCTATTCCTTCATTGGGATCTTCACAAGATGATTCTAAGACACTTATACACGTGTAAACAATAGTTCCTATAATGCAATATATAGTATAAAGCTTAGAGAGGAATATGCACTGACTTTTCACTCCGTCAAAATTAGCTGGTTTTCCGAATGTATCAATATTTGTTACGTCTTCGAAAAGTCTAGACCATTTCTTACGATGAAACTTGAATAGAATATTAGTTATCATCATGCCGAGGCCACCAACAATAAACGATAAATCTTCACTGATATCTTCTCCAATATTTTCTGGAAAGTTGAGTAATAATTTGCAACGTCACTTTATCCAAAATCATTTTGCTGAAGTGTATCAAAAGTCAAACTGAAAAGTTACTGCTTAAAATAAACCACTGCAGAGTCCAAATAGTCGAAAACTTGTATTTGTAAAGTCTGTTACAAAATAATTCTTGGACTTTTCATTTTGCTCTTCATTACACTTTTTTAGATTCTGGAAAGTTTTATTCCTGGAAAATCGTTAGGATTATTCTGAGATAACAACAAATTCAAAAGATATTTGAAAAAATATTCTCATGTTTATGAACTCAGGTAGGTGGGGAGCAGCCTCAATGCACTCAACTTTTTATTGGTTTATGACATCGTTCGAAAATTATTGATCCAAGAAAAAAATTTCAATACTATGCCCTATACCCATTCTAGAGATTGAAAAATATATTTGCATGTACTACCTTCAATTGATAAACTAGCATGTAAAATGCAGATAATGATGAACATTGTTAATGTCATACAACTCAATACCACACTTATCAAAGATAAGAATATTTGCCATGGTTCCTGTGAGTATTCGCGATAAACTAAAAAAAATCTCAATGTTCTGAGACTACTATAAAATGGTTGGTCTCTCTTGATTGGATACATGTTTCAAACGGTAACTCTATAGTGAAACTTTGTAGAATATATCGAATAAATGTATGATTCCTTTTCCAGGTAATGAAGAGTTATGTTGAAATATTCAAGGTGATTTCGCGAAATTATATAGTAGGAAAATGTAAAATTGTGATGTTGAGAGTGGGAATTCGTAATGAGCTTGGGAACATTGAGCTGCACTAATGAATCTTACATAATTCGTTATCGCTCATTACGAGAGAGTGACAGTCTCTATGAATATTGGGAAATACCATAATATTCAAATTAATTGAATATTGAATCCTCAACTATTCGCAACATTTCGAATACTCAAAAACATCCACAGAGTTGTTTCCGCTCGTTCTTTCGGAATTACTTAAAGTATTTAATGTAGAATTGACTGACATTAGAACACATTCTAAGTACTTCTTTCAAGGAACTCAATTATTATTAACAAAATATATTGCATTGTGAATGAGACAAAATATTATGAGGACGATGAAATTCGGGAAACACAAACAGAAATGCATTATGGTGGCACCATGCATATACGGTCTACAGAAGTTCTTCTACAGTTCTCCTGGAAAGTAAGTAAATGAAAATAGTTATGGAGCAACACAATGAGAAAAACATTCTGAAATCATATGCCTTTTCAATTCCATAGTGAACTGAATTCACAATTTACTGAATTCACTGAAAAAGATTTTATGTTGATATAAAGATAAAAAAATATTGTTACATGAAATTTCCAAAAAATATCCGTCAACCAGAAAAAAAGAATATCCAACCAAATGAACTCTCTTCAGAACTGAAAATTGAGACTAAATTGCCCATTTTCAGTATGCCGATATAATTTTCTACTTTCTCAGCCTCTCTTATTCATTATAGATCTGGTCAAACCTGCAAATATATAGGACGTACCAACAAAATTTGACCCCCCCCCTTCAAGGCAGAAACAGAAGTGTAATAAAAAATTTGAAAAAATACGTCGATTTTTATTTTTATTAGAACTAATTCTGAGAAAATCATACCCGAAACTTCACCCCCTGTGATCAGCAACAACCCCCCTATGTTTTTCCTGACATGGGGGGTCGAGTGATACACAATTTAAAAGGACTTTTGTCTCTCTATTACCCCTGTGATTTTTTTCGGAATTGGTTCATTCTTTATCGAAAAATTAAATGTTAAACCTTTCATTTAGGAAAAAACAGAAAATTCGATGTCATTCATTCTAATAAGGAAATCAACGACCAATAATATCAGTGGAAACAAAATCAACGGATAAATTGATAAAAATGACCTTCACATAGTCGCAATCGCAGCAATCGGCATTCCCGAAAAATGCTGTGTCGCAGATCTTTTAAATATGTAGGCTTAGTAGAGTACACTTTCGACTTCAGGTGTCCTTGCAGGAAAAGTTCATCGGTGTGAGATCAGGTGATCCAGCTGTCTCATTCGAACATCAAAATGTGGGGGTGCACCATTCTGCTGGAATCTTATTGAATTTTTACAAAATTGTTTTCATTATCTACAATTTGTATAATCATAGGCTCTACACAGTCTAATAATAGATTTGAGTATGTGTCTGTATTGAGAATACTTTCAATGAAGAATGGTCCAACAATATGATTACCAAGAATGCCGGCCCAGACATTCAATTTTTGTGAAGTTTATGAATGTGTTTCCACCACCAGATCAGGATTCACATCGGTGCAGTAACGAGAATTGTGTCTATTCACTTCACTATTCAACATGAAGGAACGTTCGCCTGAAAAACATGTATTGATTTGGGTTATTGGTCAATTTCTTGCTGAACACCTCACAAAACTGAAGTTGACGATCAGGATCATCTTCGTTTATTTCCTGAACTAGCCTCATTTTGAAAGCATGGAATTTGTAGGCTTTCAAAATCCGAAAAACAATAGTAGCTGATTCACCAGACGCTCTAGCTACTTGTCTGATAGATTGTCGATTATCCATTTGTATATGTACTTGTTGCACTGTTCAGGACCTTTGGTGTAGTAATGAATATTACTGGAGTTTATTCCTCAACACCACTTGGTGATCGAAACACGTGTCGCGGTGTTAAAATAATGGTTCGATGTTAGGAAACTCCAGTAATATTCATTTGTACATGTCCTAAAACTGCAACTTCAACTCTGTCATTTCTGACAGGACGGGATGCTTCATGTTTTCTGTTGTGAACAGAACCTGAAGTTCGAAACTCATCCATTAAATGTTTAATGTATTGATGGCTCTGGATGATTAGTATTATGAATTCTTGTAGCAGCTTCAGCACATCCATTATTTCGATAATAGGTAGCAACAATTTCTATTCTTTCTTCAGTGGAATGAACCATTGTGGAACACAGTGAACAAGGATGACTGAGCAATTATTCGTGAAGTGCAGTGGCCAACTATCTACTTTTTGTTCTGAGACAACTAGATTCAATAAAAACTAACAGTGTCGTCCATTTCAAAACTTTCACTACTGATAAAATAAATTCTGCAAATTTAGAAGACCTGCGACAGAGAATTGTTCGGAAATGCCGATTTCTGACTCCGAACATCTTCAATAATGTAAGGAACCCTTTGGAAAGTAGACTGTATTATTGTATTAAACTAGATGAACGTCATTTCGAACACTTCATCCGTTGATTGTATTGCCATTGATATTACTTTCGTCGATTTCCTCATTAAAATGAGCGAAAGGGAATTTTCTGTTTTTTCTTAAATGTTATGTTCAACATTTAATTTCTCAATAACGAATGTACCAATTCCGGAAAAAATTACAGGTATAATAGACGAACAAAATACCTTTCAAATGATGTATTACTCGACCTCCCATGCCATTGAAAAAAATAGAGGGGATAGTTGCTGACCGCAGGCGAAATTCAAGAGCGGATCCAGCTTTGACGCCAGGAGGGGGTCACATAGTGGTGGTCAAGTCACAAAAAGTAATAATTTGATTCCGATAATAATAGATATAAGTGAAAAAAGGTATTTTGTTAATGAATGTAAATACTGTACTCAAAATACCTAGCTATATTCAAATAACAAAATCAAATTTTCTTCTAGGTTTTCTCCCGAAACGCGTTATCACTGTATCTATTTGTGTGGGTACGTTTTCATGGATGTGCAGAAGTGCCAATCTGGTTAGACGTTTTTCAACCATTTCAGTTTGAACACACTCACTGGCATAATGAAGGAACTGATTACTTACTAACCATTTCTTGTAATGAATTTGCAGCAACAATTTTCAAGAACACTCTAAATCATATTGGAATTTTCTAGTTCATTAACTTCCAGTTAGTCAGTCGTTCCAACTGATGTTAGGTCTATCAAGTCGTTAGTCCAAACAAAGCGCACGCGCAAGTGTCACGAATGCCACACGAAACGTTACGTGACAAATGAAAGTTGGCGGCCGTGGCGGTAGCGCGGTGAAATTTAACTTTCGATGCATTCATTCCCGAATAATGCGTTTTCTGTCAAACAAAGTATTATATTGAATCAATCGAATATTGAAAGTATTTGGATGAAATATATATTGTGACAAAATGTATAAAACATTATGTTCAACAATTTCAATTAATGGGCTGGGTTCAGGACCTAGGTAGACCACTGATTCAAATTTCAAGTTTCTGAAAGTTAATGACGTATTTGTTCACATAACTATTTGTGATATCAGTAAAAGGGTATTTCTCATCAAATTGCGAAATTTGATTCCCGAGTCATTGGTGCCGAATCATATGCATTAGCTATGCAAGTCTTTTTTTTATTTAATTCATGCTGTCTAATACTACTTTTGTTCAAAAAGAGAACATTGCCACTTAAGAAAAAAAAAGACATGGCCACTTTGTTACAATGAAAGTCATTCCCTCACCTTGTCCCTCAGTATAAAAATATTACCAAAATGCCTGTTCAACTAAAATAAATCAAAATTTCTCATTAATGAAGTATTGCAAATAAATTAGAAAGATATGTGTTATTCTATGTCAAAACTTTCATTTTACAACGACGGATTTATAAAAAAGATAATTCGATTTTAAATATGTCCCGCCAAATAAAATCATTTCCTCACCATAGGTATAACGAATATTCGATTTCTGAACGTATCAAACGATATTTTTATACGTAACCCTATGAAATTAGTACCTGGCAACACTTTCAAATGTTTCAAAATGGCGATTTCTTCTCAACTATAGGTGAGTTAGTGCAATAAAATATTACGTTAAAAATAGTTAAGAGTAACATTTATGACGATCATTACCTCACGTTACATATATATTAGGTATTTTAGCATATATGTATATTATTTGTTGTTTGTATGCGTTTTTGGGAGTTATATGCATATTCGAAATGTAAACAACAAATTGAGGTTATGTACCGGCATTCTTGTAGCTTTAGTTAAAATTCGTCATTCCCTCATGATCATTTCCTCACTACATTTGGGAGTGAGGAAATGACGGTGGGATGAGGGAATGATTCATAAAGTATTCTATATTTCTTTTAGATTTTTTATTTATTTCTAGTAACTGGTGTTATATGGTATTTAATTAAAACCAGGTACAAGTATATGGTAGCAAAATGACACAGTCAATGAGGTTGAGTGCTGCAGAAAAAAATTAGAGTAAGATAGAAAAAGGGGAGAAAAAATGGAAAATAATACCGAATTTTTGGAAAAACTGTGGGAAAAGGACAGATTAAAGTATTTAAAGAAAAAAGATATGGGTCAGGTGAAATCAGTTAAACATATGACTGCTAGAGAACAGACACAAAAACTAAAACAATAGAAAGAAAATAGTAAAGTGTATAGAAATAAAAAAGCTATAATATACAAACATTTACAGAGAATACTTGATAATACACCCCCACAAAGTCCAGCATCAGATATACAGTATACAGCGAAGTAGAGAAGAGTACTAGTAGATGACAGAGTAGATGACAGATGTCAGAGTAGATGACAGATGCGAAGGCGCCGAGCTATTTTGTATGTAAAAATTGTAAATTTG